TTAATTTTTTCGCCCGACCCGGGATTCGAACCCAGGACCTCATGATCAGTAGACCAACGAGGCAGTCCTTATGTATACTTATGTGCCTAAGTAAAAAGAACGCAGTTATCCATACTAATATTATAAATGCGTAAATGTTTGTTTGTTTGTCCTTCTTTCACGTCGCAACAGAGCGTCGGCATGGCATGATTTTTGTATGGGGATAGTTCGGTGGCTGTAGAGTGACATAGGATACTTTTTTCAGCGGAAAAACATATCATTCCCATGGGAAAATGGAATATGTTGCAAAATTAAATTCAGATAGGTGGCGCCACTGTGATTCTACAAGACGAACGACGGTACGATGGACGAACACAGAAGGTCAGAATATCTGGATTATTATGTCTTTTTACCAAAATGAAGATAAAAATTTATGGATCTGTATTTTCCACGCAGGAACGGAAAGATAGCGATAAAAACATAAAATTCACCAGCTGATTTTCTTCAAACGTTTTGGTGCATTGTAATTCACAGAATAGGCGATAACCTCACAGACGATATTAAGTAATCCGTTGATGCTCTGCCTGCTCCGCAAGGGTTACAAGCGTGATTATAAGTATGGATCAGAAATACTATCACCACCTGTCACGCTTTCACCCTTAAATTTTACTTAACTTGATTACTTAACTGTGGTAGAAAAAGTTCTTAGTAAGCCTTATTAATAAGCCTTCGTAATATTTATTGAACGGAAATGAATACAGTTCTTATATGTGGTTATGAATGAATCGGTATTACAATAAGAAAAATTGTGCAAAATTAAAAGAAAAATATTTTTTAAGAATTCTTATTAACTAATGTATACATAGTTTAAATTGATTCCGCTAGATGTCGTTACTAGGTTTTTAAAACGCGGTAACGAAATGTTTCCTGATATGTACTTACTTAACTCTCGACGTTGAGCCGCGCGTCAACTTATAGTGCATACGGTACCCATACGCTTAAATTGTTTCTATTTCGTAGCTTATTCGACTACCTGCTTCTTCGTATGTTATTTGCTTTGTGATTTGGTTAAGCTTGAATGGATTTATATTGGCTTTCATTTTCGGATTTGTGTATTTTCTTGCATCGGTTTTTTGATTTGGTTGGTATTCCTTTCACAGCTCCAAGCTGAACGTTGACAAAATTTTCAAAGAAACAATTGTCGGTTTTTAATTACGCAGCATTCAATTATGATCCGTTGATTGGTTATAAAAATCACAGGTTAGTTGTTATCGGACTGATGGATAAAGCGTGCCGTTTTTGCAGCGCTTTAAAATGGTAAGATGGGACCGCAGGCATGTGCTGTTCCAATGGCAAAGTGTCTCTTCCGTTACTTGGGGAACCAGAAGAACCTTTGAAATCTCTCTTTTTATATGATGCTAATGAGTCACGGCGCTTTTTAAACAGGATCCGGAAATATAACTCATGCTTTCAAATGACGTCCTTCGGAGTTGACCGGGAAATAATAATGCCGGGATTTTTTGCCTACATTTACGGTGCAAGGGAAAATTTATCATAGAATAGGTTCACTTTTTCCAGCTGAAAACGAACAGCATAAATTTTTACAAGTCTATTTTATGGGTGACGAAGAAATTGAGGTAGACCACCGCTGCCAAATTATCCAGAGAGTTGAAAGAGACACAGTGTTCAAAATTCAAAGATTCTTGCATGAACGTAACATTTTAGTCAAAACATTTAAAACTGCTTTAGAAAACCTACCTAAAGAGGATTATAAATTCGTCATTCACGCAGATCGGACCCCTCGAGGAGAGCATGAAAGGTGTAGCGCCTTTCATTCATACACCTTTGATAAACGAAATAGCAGCCGTAATTAGTGGTGATCAATTTTCTTCACGAGACATTGTCTTGCGAGCACGTGATGATACGTTGCAACGGGTAGCCGATACACACAAGTTTTATGACGCTCTGCAATACCCATTGATTTATTGCAAAGGACAAGAGGGTTATCATTTTCAAATTCCACTCTAATGAGGCTCCTTTGTCGCCTACTCCGAACAATAAAGTATCATGTATGGATTATTATGCGTATCATATGATGTTGCGAGAAAATGATTTTAACCTCTTAGCCCGGTGTAGACAATTATTTCATCATTTTTTGGTAGACATTTATGTAAAGGTAGAAAGTGAACATCTCCGTTATATATATTTAAATCAAAAAAAAGCTGCGCGTTGAGACTTATATACATTTACAAGATGCAGTTTCCAGCGACGTCAATGTAAACCCCAGAGATTTAGGTAAAATGGTAATTCTGCCCTCATCATTCGTTAACAGTCCCCGCTTGCTACATGAGTACACACAACACGCATTCGCCTATGTACGAATTTACGGAAGAACTAATCTTTTTGTTACTTTTACTTGCAATCCCACATGGAAAGAAATAACCAAGGAGCTAATTCCTGGCCAAAAAAGTACTGACAGACACGATTTAGTTGCTAGAGTATTTAGATTAAAATTACAAAAAATAAAGTATGTAATTAACAAAGGGAAAATTTTTGGAGAGGTGCAGTGTTTCATGTATTCAATTGAATGGCAAAAAAGAGGATTACCGCATGCCCACATTCTAATATGGCTTAAAGAGAAGTTGCGGCCCAGCCAAATAGACGACATAATAAGCACCGAGATTCCGGATCCTGAGCAAGATAAAGAATTGTATGATACCATCGTCCGAAATATGATTCACGGTCCATGTGGAGCATGAAATTCAATATAGCCATGTATGAAAGAAGGAAAATGTACAAAGAAATTCCCTGAATAGCTATTAAAAGAAACAGTGTAAAATGACAATGGCTACCCTTTATACAGACGCAGAGCTCCCGAAGATGGTTGCAGGAAAGTTACAATCAAATCTCGCTCTGGAGCGTTCGAAACTTTAGATAACAGCTGGATTGTCCCGTATTCGCCCATTCTATGTAAAATGTTTAACGGCCACATTAATGTAGAAGCATGTAGCTCTGTCCGCGCAATCAAGTATATCTGTAAGTACATAAATAAAGGAGGAACCAAGCAATATTTAATCTCAGGAGTGAAGGTGAGGCAAATCCCGTTAATAAAGTACAGACCTTTCAAGCAGGGCGTTATGTCAGCAGTAACGAGGCAGCGTGGCGTCTCCTTGGCTTCCCTTTACAAGAAAGGCACCCAACAGTTACTCACCTTGCTGTGCACTTAGGAAATGGGGAGCGTGTATATTTCACCGAAAGAAATTTCCAAGAAAGAATTGCATCACCATCAAAAACTACACTAACAGCCTTCTTTCAACTTTGTCAAACCAACCTCTTTGCAAAAACGTTGTTATATTCTGAAGTCCCCTGCTATTATACTTGGAACATTTCTAGGAAGGAGTGGAAACGCCGTATTCGTTTTCGCCGTTAGTGGCGCCTGTTGCAAATTGGCCTGGTGTAAAGTCATCAGTTGCCCTTGGTCGTGTGTATACCGTCTGGGAAGACATTTTTGTTAAATTTATTATTAACGCAAGTACGGAAAGATAAACACATTGCTGTGGCCGTAGCTTCCTCCGATATAGCAGCCATGCTGCTAAGTGGGAGCCGCACTGCACATTCTGTTTTAAAAATCCCTATAAATCTAGCCCAGGAGGAATCGCCGATCTGCAATTTTAGCAAAAATAGCGCACGAGGTATTATGCTACGACAATGCAAACTTTAAGTGTGGGATGAAAGTGAAATATCGCATAAAAAAGCTGTAGAAGCACTAAATCGAATGCTCTAGGATTTGCGCAGCATTAGTGTGGGAGGAATGGTGGTTTTACTGGCTGGTGACTTTCGCCAAACTTTACCCGTCATTCAAAAGGGCATACCTGCAGATGAAATTAAAGCATGCCTCAAGTCGTCTATTTTATGGATATTTGTAAGTACATGTTATAGCAAGGTGACAAAATTCAGTTTAACTACGAATATGAGAGTGCATTAGTATAATGAAATCAATGCTGGAAACTATGCTGACACACTATTAAAAATTGGCGATGGGTGGTTGGAAACGGATGCTGAGGGCTGCGTCAAATTGACGAGAGATTTTTGTAATTTAGTACAGAGTCATTCCGAATTAATTGCGAGCGTTTATTCAGATTTAACGAACAACATGCATGAAGACAAATGGTTATGTGAATGGGCGATTCTTGCACCAAAAATGAGAGCGTTAACAAAATAAATTCAGATATATTAAGCAAAGTAGCAGGAGAAATAACAGAGTATTTGTCAGTAGACACAGTTATGGACACAGAGCTGAGCACTTTATATCCCGTAGAGTTTCTAAATTCTCTAGAGTTGTCAGGTGTGCCCTCACATAAGCTTCAATTAACACGTTAGCTGCCATGTCGGACTATATGTCTGACAAGCTAATGTTTCAATCAGGCCGTGTCGGACTAGGTGTCCGACAAGCCATACTTCCATTCAACACCTCGTTGTGGCTTGTCGGACGCTTTTTAATCGAATTGTTGTATACAGCGTGACCCGCAAGGCCCCATAAAGCTTATAAACATCGGGTCAAACAACTTTTATCAACTGTTTAGTAATAATAGCAGTATGAACTTCGAAAGGACAGTAATTTTAAATAAAATTTATATAGCTCAAATCAAACGTTTATTATTACTACTTTTGGAGAACATAATTATGATTATCTTTAAAAATTAAATGTCGTCAATTATATTAGCAACGGTAATTAAAGTTAGACATATAAAGGTACAAAAAATTACTTATGAGAAGCATTGAAACAGTTAAGACACAAATGAGGTTTTTCTGGACAGCCAGAGCAATAAATCGCAACTTTTTTGTCTTATTGCGAGCTTGTAGTCTTCCTAGATTCCTGACATTTTTTTTGTAACAATGTTGGCAGTTCCTACGAACATTTTTAGAAACGCCTTCTTTCCGTGTAAGCTTATGTATTCCTTGCAATTGTCTTACCGGTCTTGGTGTATCTATTTCCTGTGGAGTAGTCATTAGATACTTTATTATGGCTTGTCTGAATTTAACAATGGAAATATTCCTTTTTGTTGTTTGTTTATATAAAACCAGGGCATTTACAATTGATGTATTGAGTAGTAACTCACAAGCAAGTTTTCGATACCATTTTACTGTCTTACGCAATGGTGTCGAATATGCTGACATTTGATCAGACAGGTCTACGGCCGACTTCGCTTGGTTGTACGACAAAATAATTTTGGGTTTCTTGGTAACAAGACCCCGTTTACTCGTACTTTCTTTTAGTATGTTAGAGTGTTTTGTAGACAGCAGAAGTACTTCGCGTTTATCTCGCCACTTCATAACGGTTATACCCCTTTGATTCTCTCTAGAAATGTATTCACCAAGTTTGAGCTTCGTTTCAGTAACTTCTTTCGGCCATCTCTTTCTATTTTTGCGGAGCATACCAACCAGATGCGTCTCTGAATCAGGTAACTTGTCTGCTAAATCTACACTGGTATACCAGTTATCGGTATACATAGTGTGTCCTTTATTGAACAGGTTACTACAAAGATTAAGAACTATATTTGTTGGTGTATTATTTTTGGACTCGAAACTTTTCCCTGCATATATTTCTAGCCTAAAAGTGTAACCTGGCGTTGTGCATAATTTGAAAATCTTTATATCGTATTTATACCTCTTCTGTTTCAAGTACTGTCTAAATATAATTCAGCCACGAAAAGGAATGAGGCTTTCGTCTACACATAATGACTCATTGAGAATGAAATGGGCTTGAAAATTCATATTTAGTGTTTTAAATAATTTATCTATTTTGTGTAGTCGGTCACCCTTTTCTGTTTCTTCATTATTTGATAAATGTAGCATACGAAGTAAAATTTCAAATCTGTTTCGATTCATGGCATTTTTTGCGAAATTTTGTCGAAACATCGCATCTGTAGACCAGTAATCGGCAAGAAATGGTAATCTCACTAACCCCATTCACAGAATAAGAGCAAAGAATTTTTTTTATCTCTCTGACGTCTGTAGGCACCCATTTGTGAATTCTTGAGACTCGTTTTAATCCACCGTTTGAGATTATTTGTTCTGCAAATAAGTTCGTTTGATATACGATGTCTTCAAAAACTGTGTCCGGTACGAGTAATGAGTAAAAGTCTGGCGGGTCAGAATTTGCCATCAAATGTCTCAGTTGAATAGGTTTTAGCCCGGGTGATTCTGTGTATGGTAGAATTTTGGGTTGGTTACCTGTCGAGATTGACCACACATCATTTGACAAAGCGCCTGAAGTAGATGGGCGCGCAGATGAGAAGCACTGCTCATCATCACTTTCACTATCTGATAAGATACGACGTCGCTTCCTACTACGTGGGACAGCCAAAGATTCTTCCTCACTATCTGTGGCCGAAAAACTGCGCTTGCGTTGACACGAATTCGATTTTATTAATTTCATCTAAATCGTCTTAACTTAATTCTATATCGTCGAAAAACATAGTTCACAGTCAAATATTAACTATTTACGACACAACTATTAATGAATAGTTGAAATAACCTCAAAATCGTAATAAAACAAAAAGTGGTTCAATGCGATTCCGACCAAAGTGCAACATGCAACTGATCTGGCCTAGCCTAGAGCGCGGGACAGTAGAATCACACACTATTAAAAATTGGCGATGGGTGGTTGGAAACGGATGCTGAGGGCTGCGTCAAATTGACGAGAGATTTTTGTAATTTAGTACAGAGTCATTCCGAATTAATTGCGAGCGTTTATTCAGATTTAACGAACAACATGCATGAAGACAAATGGTTATGTGAATGGGCGATTCTTGCACCAGAAATGAGAGCGTTAACAAAATAAATTCAGATATATTAAGCGAAGTAGCAGGAGAAATAACAGAGTATTTGTCAGTAGACACAGTTATGGACACAGAGCTGAGCACTTTATATCCCGTAGAGTTTCTACTCGTAAATTCTCTAGAGTTGTCAGGTGTGCCCTCACATAAGCTTCAATTAACACGTTAGCTGCCATCTCGGACTATATGTCTGACAAGCTAATGTTTCAATCAGGCCGTGTCGGACTAGGTGTCCGACAAGCCATACTTCCATTCAACACCTCGTTGTGGCTTGTCGGACGCTTTTTTAATCGAATTGTTGTATACAGCGTGACCCGCAAGGCCCCATAAAGCTTATAAACAGCGGGTTAAACAACTTTTATCAACTGTTTAGTAATAATAGCAGTATGAACTTCGAAAGGACAGTAATTTTAAATAAAATTTATATAGCTCAAATCAAACGTTTATTATTACTACTTTTGGAGAACATAATTATGATTATCTTTAAAAATTAAATGTCGTCAATTGTATTAGCAACGGTAATTAAAGTTAGACATATAAAGGTACAAAAAATTACTTATGAGAAGCATTGAAACAGTTAAGACACAAATGAGGTTTTTCTGGACAGCCAGAGCAATAAATCGCAACTTTTTTGTCTTATTGCGAGCTTGTAGTCTTCCTAGATTCTTGACATTGTTTTTGTAACAATATTGGCAGTTCCAACGAATATTTTTAGAAACGCCTTCTTTCCGTGTAAGCTTATGTATTCCTTGCAATTGTCTTACCGGTCTTGGTGTATCTATTTCCTGTGGAGTAGTCATTAGATACTTTATTATGGCTTGTCTGAATTTAACAATGGAAATATTCCTTTTTGTTGTTTGTTTATATAAAACCAGGGCATTTACAATTGATGTATTGAGTAGTAACTCACAAGCAAGTTTTCGATACCATTTTACTGTCTTACGCAATGGTGTCGAATATGCTGACATTTGATCAGACAGGTCTACGGCCGACTTCGCTTGGTTGTACGACAAAATAATTTTGGGTTTCTTGGTAACAAGACCCCGTTTACTCGTACTTTCTTTTAGTATGTTAGAGTGTTTTGTAGACAGCAGAAGTACTTCGCGTTTATCTCGCCACTTCATAACGGTTATACCCCTTTGATTCTCTCTAGAAATGTATTCACCAAGTTTGAGCTTCGTTTCAGTAACTTCTTTCGGCAATCTCTTTCTATTTTTGCGGAGCATACCAACCAGATGCGTCTCTGAATCAGGTAACTTGTCTGCTAAATCTACACTGGTATACCAGTTATCGGTATACATAGTGTGTCCTTTATTGAACAGGTTACTACAAAGATTAAGAACTATATTTGTTGGTGTATTATTTTTGGACTCGAAACTTTTCCCTGCATATATTTCTAGCCTAAAAGTGTATCCTGGCGTTGTGCATAATTTGAAAATCTTTATATCGTATTTATACCTCTTCTGTTTCAAGTACTGTCTAAATATAATTCAGCCACGAAAAGGAATGAGGCTTTCGTCTACACATAATGACTCATTGAGAATGAAATGGGCTTGAAAATTCATATTTAGTGTTTTAAATAATTTATCTATTTTGTGTAGTCGGTCACCCTTTTCAGTTTCTTCATTATTTGATAAATGTAGCATACGAAGTAAAATTTCAAATCTGTTTCGATTCATGGCATTTTTTTGCGAAATCTTGTCGAAACATCGCATCTGTAGACCAGTAATCGGCAAGAAATGGTAATCTCACTAACCCCATTCACAGAATAAGAGCAAAGAATTTTTTTATCTCTCTGACGTCTGTAGGCACCCATTTGTGAATTCTTGAGACTCGTTTTAATCCACCGTTTGAGATTATTTGTTCTGCAAATAAGTTCGTTTGATATACGATGTCTTCAAAAACTGTGTCCGGTACGAGTAATGAGTAAAAGTCTGGCGGGTCAGAATTTGCCATCAAATGTCTCAGTTGAATAGGTTTTAGCCCGGGTGATTCTGTGTATGGTAGAATTTTGGGTTGGTTACCTGTCGAGATTGACCACACATCATTTGACAAAGCGCCTGAAGTAGATGGGCGCGCAGATGAGAAGCACTGCTCATCATCACTTTCACTATCTGATAAGATACGACGTCGCTTCCTACTACGTGGGACAGCCAAAGATTCTTCCTCACTATCTGTGGCCGAAAAACTGCGCTTGCGTTGACACGATAATTCGATTTTATTAATTTCATCTAAATCGTCTTAACTTAATTCTATATCGTCGAAAAACATAGTTCACAGTCAAATATTAACTATTTACGACACAACTATTAATGAATAGTTGAAATAACCTCAAAATCGTAATAAAACAAAAAGTGGTTCAATGCGATTCCGACCAAAGTGCAACATGCAACTGATCTGGCCTAGCCTAGAGCGCGGGACAGTAGAATCACACACTATTAAAAATTGGCGATGGGTGGTTGGAAACGGATGCTGAGGGCTGCGTCAAATTGACGAGAGATTTTTGTAATTTAGTACAGAGTCATTCCGAATTAATTGCGAGCGTTTATTCAGATTTAACGAACAACATGCATGAAGACAAATGGTTATGTGAATGGGCGATTCTTGCACCAGAAATGAGAGCGTTAACAAAATAAATTCAGATATATTAAGCAAAGTAGCAGGAGAAATAACAGAATATTTGTCAGTAGACACAGTTATGGACACAGAGCTGAGCACTTTATATCCCGTAGAGTTTCTAAATTCTCTAGAGTTGTCAGGTGTGCCCTCACATAAGCTTCAATTAACACGTTAGCTGCCATGTCGGACTATATGTCTGACAAGCTAATGTTTCAATCAGGCCGTGTCGGACTAGGTGTCCGACAAGCCATACTTCCATTCAACACCTCGTTGTGGCTTGTCGGACGCTTTTTAATCGAATTGTTGTATACAGCGTGACCCGCAAGGCCCCATAAAGCTTATAAACATCGGGTCAAACAACTTTTATCAACTGTTTAGTAATAATAGCAGTATGAACTTCGAAAGGACAGTAATTTTAAATAAAATTTATATAGCTCAAATCAAACGTTTATTATTACTACTTTTGGAGAACATAATTATGATTATCTTTAAAAATTAAATGTCGTCAATTGTATTAGCAACGGTAATTAAAGTTAGACATATAAAGGTACAAAAAATTACTTATGAGAAGCATTGAAACAGTTAAGACACAAATGAGGTTTTTCTGGACAGCCAGAGCAATAAATCGCAACTTTTTTGTCTTATTGCGAGCTTGTAGTCTTCCTAGATTCTTGACATTTTTTTTGTAACAATGTTGGCAGTTCCTACGAACATTTTTAGAAACGCCTTCTTTCCGTGTAAGCTTATGTATTCCTTGCAATTGTCTTACCGGTCTTGGTGTATCTATTTCCTGTGGAGTAGTCATTAGATACTTTATTATGGCTTGTCTGAATTTAACAATGGAAATATTCCTTTTTGTTGTTTGTTTATATAAAACCAGGGCATTTACAATTGATGTATTGAGTAGTAACTCACAAGCAAGTTTTCGATACCATTTTACTGTCTTACGCAATGGTGTCGAATATGCTGACATTTGATCAGACAGGTCTACGGCCGACTTCGCTTGGTTGTACGACAAAATAATTTTGGGTTTCTTGGTAACAAGACCCCGTTTACTCGTACTTTCTTTTAGTATGTTAGAGTGTTTTGTAGACAGCAGAAGTACTTCGCGTTTATCTCGCCACTTCATAACGGTTATACCCCTTTGATTCTCTCTAGAAATGTATTCACCAAGTTTGAGCTTCGTTTCAGTAACTTCTTGCGGCAATCTCTTTCTATTTTTGCGGAGCATACCAACCAGATGCGTCTCTGAATCAGGTAATTTGTCTGCTAAATCTACACTGGTATACCAGTTATCGGTATACATAGTGTGTCCTTTATTGAACAGGTTACTACAAAGATTAAGAACTATATTTGTTGGTGTATTATTTTTGGACTCGAAACTTTTTCCCTGCATATATTTCTAGCCTAAAAGTGTAACCTGGCGTTGTGCATAATTTGAAAATCTTTATATCGTATTTATACCTCTTCTGTTTCAAGTACTGTCTAAATATAATTCAGCCACGAAAAGGAATGAGGCTTTCGTCTACACATAATGACTCATTGAGAATGAAATGGGCTTGAAAATTCATATTTAGTGTTTTAAATAATTTATCTATTTTGTGTAGTCGGTCACCCTTTTCAGTTTCTTCATTATTTGATAAATGTAGCATACGAAGTAAAATTTCAAATCTGTTTCGATTCATGGCATTTTTTGCGAAATCTAGTCGAAACATCGCATCTGTAGACCAGTAATCGGCAAGAAATGGTAATCTCACTAACCCCATTCACAGAATAAGAGCAAAGAATATTTTATCTCTCTGACGTCTGTAGGCACCCATTTGTGAATTCTTGAGACTCGTTTTAATCCACCGTTTGAGATTATTTGTTCTGCAAATAAGTTCGTTTGATATACGATGTCTTCAAAAACTGTGTCCGGTACGAGTAATGAGTAAAAGTCTGGCGGGTCAGAATTTGCCATCAAGTGTCTCTGTTGAATAGGTTTTAGCCCGGGTGATTCTGTGTATGGTAGAATTTTAGGTTGGTTACCTGTCGAGATTGACCACACATCATTTGACAAAGCGCCTGAAGTAGATGGGCGCGCAGATGAGAAGCACTGCTCATCATCACTTTCACTATCTGATAAAATACGACGTCGCTTCCTACTACGTGGGACAGCCAAAGATTCTTCCTCACTATCTGTGGCCGAAAAACTGCGCTTGCGTTGACACGATAATTCGATTTTATTAATTTCATCTAAATCGTCTTAACTTAATTCTATATCGTCGAAAAACATAGTTCACAGTCAAATATTAACTATTTACGACACAACTATTAATGAATAGTTGAAATAACCTCAAAATCGTAATAAAATAAAAAAGTGGTTCAATGCGATTCCGACCCAAGTGCAACATGCAACTGATCTGGCCTAGCCTAGAGCGCGGGACAGTAGAATCACACACTATTAAAAATTGGCGATGGGTGGTTGGAAACGGATGCTGAGGGCTGCGTCAAATTGACGAGAGATTTTTGTAATTTAGTACAGAGTCATTCCGAATTAATTGCGAGCGTTTATTCAGATTTAACGAACAACATGCATGAAGACAAATGGTTATGTGAATGGGCGATTCTTGCACCAGAAATGAGAGCGTTAACAAAATAAATTCAGATATATTAAGCAAAGTAGCAGGAGAAATAACAGAGTATTTGTCAGTAGACACAGTTATGGACACAGAGCTGAGCACTTTATATCCCGTAGAGTTTCTAAATTCTCTAGAGTTGTCAGGTGTGCCCTCACATAAGCTTCAATTAACACGTTAGCTGCCATGTCGGACTATATGTCTGACAAGCTAATGTTTCAATCGGGCCGTGTCGGACTAGGTGTCCGACAAGCCATACTTCCATTCAACACCTCGTTGTGGCTTGTCGGACGCTTTTTAATCGAATTGTTGTATACAGCGTGACCCGCAAGGCCCCATAAAGCTTATAAACAGCGGGTTAAACAACTTTTATCAACTGTTTAGTAATAATAGCAGTATGAACTTCGAAAGGACAGTAGTTTTAAATAAAATTTATATAGCTCAAATCAAACGTTTATTATTACTACTTTTGGAGAAGATAATTATGATTATCTTTAAAAATTAAATGTCGTCAATTGTATTAGCAACGGTAATTAAAGTTAGACATATAAAGGTACAAAAAATTACTTATGAGAAGCATTGAAACAGTTAAGACACAAATGAGGTTTTTCTGGACAGCCAGAGCAATAAATCGCAACTTTTTTGTCTTATTGCGAGCTTGTAGTCTTCCTAGATTCCTGACATTTTTTTTGTAACAATGTTGGCAGTTCCTACGAACATTTTTAGAAACGCCTTCTTTCCGTGTAAGCTTATGTATTCCTTGCAATTGTCTTACCGGTCTTGGTGTATCTATTTCCTGTGGAGTAGTCATTAGATACTTTATTATGGCTTGTCTGAATTTAACAATGGAAATATTCCTTTTTGTTGTTTGTTTATATAAAACCAGGGCATTTACAATTGATGTATTGAGTAGTAACTCACAAGCAAGTTTTCGATACCATTTTACTGTCTTACGCAATGGTGTCGAATATGCTGACATTTGATCAGACAGGTCTACGGCCGACTTCGCTTGGTTGTACGACAAAATAATTTTGGGTTTCTTGGTAACAAGACCCCGTTTACTCGTACTTTCTTTTAGTATGTTAGAGTGTTTTGTAGACAGCAGAAGTACTTCGCGTTTATCTCGCCACTTCATAACGGTTATACCCCTTTGATTCTCTCTAGAAATGTATTCACCAAGTTTGAGCTTCGTTTCAGTAACTTCTTGCGGCAATCTTTTTCTATTTTTTGCGGAGCATACCAACCAGATGCGTCTCTGAATCAGGTAACTTGTCTGCTAAATCTACACTGGTATACCAGTTATCGGTATACATAGTGTGTCCTTTATTGAACAGGTTACTACAAAGATTAAGAACTATATTTGTTGGTGTATTATTTTTGGACTCGGAACTTTTCCCTGCATATATTTCTAGCCTAAAAGTGTAACCTGGCGTTGTGCATAATTTGAAAATCTTTATATCGTATTTATACCTCTTCTGTTTCAAGTACTGTCTAAATATAATTCAGCCACGAAAAGGAATGAGGCTTTCGTCTACACATAATGACTCATTGAGAATGAAATGGGCTTGAAAATTCATATTTAGTGTTTTAAATAATTTATCTATTTTGTGTAGTCGGTCACCCTTTTCAGTTTCTTCATTATTTGATAAATGTAGCATACGAAGTAAAATTTCAAATCTGTTTCGATTCATGGCATTTTTTTTGCGAAATCTTGTCGAAACATCGCATCTGTAGACCAGTAATCGGCAAGAAATGGTAATCTCACTAACCCCATTCACAGAATAAGAGCAAAGAATTTTTTTTATCTCTCTGACGTCTGTAGGCACCCATTTGTGAATTCTTGAGACTCGTTTTAATCCACCGTTTGAGATTATTTGTTCTGCAAATAAGTTCGTTTGATATACGATGTCTTCAAAAACTGTGTCCGGTACGAGTAATGAGTAAAAGTCTGGCGGGTCAGAATTTGCCATCAAATGTCTCAGTTGAATAGGTTTTAGCCCGGGTGATTCTGTGTATGGTAGAATTTTGGGTTGGTTACCTGTCGAGATTGACCACACATCATTTGACAAAGCGCCTGAAGTAGATGGGCGCGCAGATGAGAAGCACTGCTCATCATCACTTTCACTATCTGATAAGATACGACGTCGCTTCCTACTACGTGGGACAGCCAAAGATTCTTCCTCACTATCTGTGGCCGAAAAACTGCGCTTGCGTTGACACGATAATTCGATTTTATTAATTTCATCTAAATCGTCTTAACTTAATTCTATATCGTCGAAAAACATAGTTCACAGTCAAATATTAACTATTTACGACACAACTATTAATGAATAGTTGAAATAACCTCAAAATCGTAATAAAACAAAAAGTGGTTCAATGCGATTCCGATGCAAGTGCAACATGCAACTGATCTGGCCTAGCCTAGAGCGAGGGACAGTAGAATCATGCACTATGATTGGCCAAAACTCTTGAGAACTTCCTATTGGTACGCGCTACGCGCCCAAATAATAACCGTCATGCACGTGTCCAACAAAGTGACCCGCGCGGCGTAGTGTTGTAAAAATACTCCGTTCAGGCCGTGTCGTACTATATTTCCGACGAATTGTAAATATGTAAATAATAAGTATATTATGAGCAATGTAAATAAGGTATTACTATATTTTTTGGTGTTTTTAAATGGTTTTGGGCAAAATTTTTAAAAAAAAAATTTCGTTTTTCCAAAAATCATTCTGACAGCTAACGTGTTAAAATTAGGCGTCCCAGTGAAGCTAATGCGAAATTTAGATGCTCCTCGGTTATGAAACGGGACAAGGCTGCGTGTGACACATCTTGGACGGAACATAATCGGAGCTACAATTTTGACAGGCCTAGGAAAAGGTGAAAATGTTATTATACCACGGATCCCTATAATTCCCACAGATCTTCCTATTCAATTCAAAAGGTTGCAGTTCCCTATTAAGCTCAGTTTTGCAATGACAATTAATAAAGCGCAAGGGCAAACGTTATAGGAGCTTCTCTCATGGTCAGCTGTATGTAGCATGTTCGCGTGTATCAATGCCCAGAATCTCCACATTCTTTCCCAGAATGGAAAACCATATAACATTTTGTACAGTAGTGTCTTAAAATAGTGTTCAGTTAGTTTTTTTTTCCAAAATTCCCACAATCAATTAATCAGAATTCCCACAGATCTTCCCTTTCAATTCAAAATTTCCTGTTTAGCTCAGTTTTTTTTTCAATTCCAAATGCTGCAACTCTGACGGACCTATTAGGCTCAGTTTCCTTTTAACTCAAAAGGCTGCATCTCTGACGGATCTTTTATTTGGCTCTGTTTCCTTTCAATTCAGAAAAATGCATCACTGACGAATCAATTTAGCTCAGATTCTTTTCAAAAGTCTGACGGATCTGACATCCCTGACGGATAATTATGCTGAGTTTCCTTTAATTAAAAAAATATTCCATTTCCATTTGGAATAAACAGGCTATTTTCATGCTTTCCTATACGCTGCGTTTCACAAAATTTAAATAGGCTGACGAATCAATTTTGCTCAGTTTCCTTTTAATGGCTGATCTCTGACAAATCTATAAAACTCAGTTTTTTTTCAATTCAAAAAGCAATGGATAGTTCATTTCCCAGTGATCATGCGGGCGAAGCCGCGGGTAACAGCTAGTAATAAATATTGATTTATTC